TGGTGAGGGCTTCTGGGAATTGCAGTCCAAGAACACCTGGATTTCCCAATATTAGGAACCCCTGTTATAGGAGTTTGTTTGAAAGAGAGAGAGAGAGGGTGGGGAAGGAGAAGAGAGAAACATCAACCACTAGCAGCAGGATGTCGCTCTTGTCTCCACCCATCTTTGGCTGTTGTGTCTTCTGCCCCACTTGTCACAATGGGGACCAGCCATCCTTGGAGTGAGTTTTCACTATGCAATTGTTAGGGTGTATCAGCATGCTACCCAAGCCCTTACAATAGAGCCTAGTGGTCCAGAATTCTATCACAGCCTTTTTCTCATCATCTTGATCACCTCGTAGGACTAGTCTACACATCCACAAGAATGGAGTGGTAGAATACTGAATAAGACTGTACCACTTTCTGTTGCAAGCTGGAGGTGCCAATTTCGGCCACTAAGGCAGTGCTTCCCAACCTTTGGTCCCCAAATGTTCTTGGGCTACAACTCCCAGAAATCCTGGCCAGCACAGCTAGTGGTGAAGGCTTCTGGGAGTTTTAGTCCAAAAACATCTGGGGACCCAAGGTTGGGAAGCACTGCACTAATGGACACCAACTTTCCTACACATTAAAGTAAATACATCAAACATGCCAGCGAAACATGTTCTCGCCAGGCTGATCTTTGCTACCTTTCTGCCTGCAGTGAAACATTTCAAAGATGTCTTGTCTCTGCCTTCCAGTGCATTTTTCTACACAGCGGGGATATGAGAAATGTGTTTCAGCAGATATTGTTCCACTGCCACTCCCAACCAGAGGTAGGAAATTTGGAAGAAAACAGTTTACAATTCAGTGAGCTATTAGTCAGCTCAATACCTGTCTCTGTAACAACTTACTAGTGAATCACTAACTTTTAACCCTTTCCTACCAAGGGCTCCTCCAGCCTGGGCAAATATATTCCACCTCAACTGGCCGCTGTTTGTTCAGACCTAGAGTAGGGATTGTCAAGAGTCATGTTCACACCGACTTTTTAAAACCACATCTTTAGAAATGCTTCTCTTTAGGAGAGAGGATCTGAGAATAATGGAAGTGGAAGGGGCCCATAAGGCCATCAAGTCCAACCCCCTGCTCAACACAGGCATCAAAATCAAAGCAGATCTCTGGAATAATGGAGATTTTTGAAACCCTTGTTTGAAATTTACAACCCATGGTGTAGTATATTTCTTTCTTTCTTTGAAGGTTTTATTAATATAACTGTGGACTAATCAAAGATTTCTTATCGAGGGGGGCCTCTTCCAACATGGAAATGTGCTACACAGAAAGTGTTATAGCACTAAACTCTACCCCCTGAATGGTTTTCTCTGTTATTTCTGTTTGTTTCGGTTATAGATTTGTGTTCAGGAAATGTAATAACATATTTTTTAATTTTTTAAAACTAGGGAGGCATGAATTTTGTCACTACTTTCATCAAGACAAAAACATTCCATGGGAACAAAAAATGGAATTATCGGTGACAGAGCAGATATTTTTACAGCAAAAAATACTGTGTAAACCCTAAGTTTCTCATTTCTGCTCTGTTCATCCCTCACCATAGTCCCTACTGGCTGAGGATGATGGAAGCTGTAGTCGGCCACCACAGAGGGGGCCCATGTTCCCCATACCTGTTCACCTTTGCATGATCTAGCCGTTTCACCCTTCTGCATGTGTGCAGAATATTACGTCCAAGGAAACACAGCTAGGATAGTGCGGCTAGCCTTATTCCCAGGCTCTGAAGCAAACATGGGGAGCATGCATGCAGAAATACACCCTGCACCTTTAAAGACTGCTAGCACCTGGTCAGTTGTGTGAGGAATTATGTAGCTCAAGGGTTTGTTACATACACAGGGTATTAGTCATCCACTTCAGGTTGGTTTCATTTTGTGATACGCCCAGTTCCTTCCCCATGAAAACTGGCCTGCCTGCCTGCCTTCCCTCTCACGCTGTTTCATGTCCCTCAGAACTGCCCTCTGCCATGGTCTGTGTGCCTCCTGGTTGCATGTTATTCAATTGCAGATAAATGACTTTGCTTGGAAAGACAAGCAAGCAAAAGCCAACAGAAGAAACCCTCCGCATCCAGACCCGTGCATTTTAGTGAAGAGTTGGAGTGCAGTTTGGGTGTGCCAGACTTTGTTCCTGCTGCAGAACAAAAGTAGATCCAGCGATTAGCAGAACAGATCTGACCAGAATTTCTGGCTCACGGATGCAAACATTGGCCAGAATTCTCATGGTTATTTACCCTGGCAGAGGCTACTCAGCTGACCCCAAACCGTGCACCAAAGTTGCAATCAGACAAGGAAATACTGTGCATTTTGGCCCACTGGTGGCACAGTCGACGTGCAACGTAAAAGCGATAGCAATCCAGCCTGGCCCCAATCCGTGCTGCTGATGGAACTTTTTGGTCCAAGGACAGAGCTATGCTTTTCAGGAACCAGATGGGAGCGATTCCGGTATGGACAGAAGAGTTGCTTTAAGGGAGATCGCTCCCAACGAAGAGGTAATTTCTGGTGAAATCAGATACTGTACAATGTTTTCTTGATTATGGACAGAAGAGTTGCTTTAAGGGAGATTGCTCCCAATGAAGAGGTAATTTCGGGTGAAATCAGATACAATGTTTTCTTGACGCCTGATTGCTCCCTAAGTGAGATCGGTGCACAAGGAAAAATACAAGGAGTTCAGCCGCAATTCTGCAACTGTGATTTTAATGATTGCACTTCATAATAAATAATAAGTCAGTTCTGAGTTATGGCACCCCTTTACATGGTTTTCCAGGTAGTGAATACTCAGAAGTGGTTTACCAAACCTTTCATCTGTGGAGTGCCCTGGACTGCCCTGGGACTGTGCAGTTTGTCCAAGGCAACACAAGCTGGCTTTTCTTCCAGAAAGCACAGTGGGGAATAACTAAGAGGCTTCTGCGCTTTTCTCCCAGGAAGCACAGTGAGGGATAACTAAGAGGCTTCTGTCCACTATGCTGTTGCTGAGTGGTATTTAAAGTCCGTGCATTAAAAGTTTTCAGCATTAGTAGTGTTTGCTTAGTGTTATCCATGACAGGGTGACACCCAATTCCTGATGCCTCCCTGTAGCAAGTAATGGGAAAGACCTCTCTCTGCTCACAAGCCTAGAACCAATGCCAATCCATAGCTTAAAAAAACATCCATAAAATTAAAAAAAGTGTGTGTGTTTTGGACTACTACATCTCACCATGGGAGTACAACTCCCATCATTCAGGTCAGCACTATGTCTGTGGATGATGGGAGCTCTATACCATGTAACAGAAGAGCCTCTTCACTGTCTTCATGGAAGACAGTTTGAAAGCCAATCCATCGTTCAGTCTTACAGATCTCCAATAAGAGAAATAAGTGCCACTGTGTTTGGTGGTGCTTACTCTGTTGTGTGTTTGTGTAGCAAAGATAAGCAAAGTGTGATGCTCATCCAGATGCTGCTAGAGTACATTTTCTTTTCTTTAGCAGGCAGTTGGATAAAAACATTTGTGCATCTGAAAATTGTGCTATATGACCCTGCCTGTTATTTAAGTTCTTAATAATCAGACATGTAAAATCTATGTATATTCCTTGCATTTCTCCAAACATACATCTATCAGTGTCCAATGGCTCAAATATATTTTTCCCCAACTGCATATTTTATATCCAAAGGCACACTAAAACAAACACATCCTGGACTACAGCTCCCATCAGTCTTAGCTGTAACAGCCAGCAGTATTACTGCAATCCAACAACATCTGGCCAGCCAGACTTTTATCTTCCCCTGATGTTTAGCACTGGATCATTAGAAACCATTTATTTGAACAATTCAGTCAGGCCCTTTTAAATGTCATGTTTTAAACTACCCTTTTGTCAAGTCATAGGGGGTTGGTTAATTCAGAGAGAACAACGATTGGCTTTCACAGATGTTGAAAAAGAAGTAAGCAGAGTCTGTTGTTGGAAAATGCAAGCATAAAAAGAGAGTCATACATAAAACTTATGCAGGGGATGAATAAAGTGAATAGAGGGGAGCTCTTGCAACACCAGAACCTGCAACACCAGAACCAGGGGACATCCACTCAATTTGAGTGTTGGGAGAGCAAGGACAAAAGAAAACATTTCTTTACCCATCATGTTGTTAATCTGTGGAACTCCTTGCCACAGGATGTGGCGATGGCATCTGACCTAGATGCCTTTCAAAGGGGATTGGACAGATTTCTGGAGGAAAAGTCCATCACAGGCGACAAGCTATGATTTATTTATTTATTTATTTGATTTATACCCCTCCTATCTGGCCCACTGGGCCACTCTAGGCGGCTAGATGGGGATGTACAATCTCCAGGCTTAAAAGGGAGGTACTTCAAAATGCCAGATGCAGGGAAGGGGTATCAGGAGACAGGTATCCAGTTGTCTCATGTGCTCCCAGAGGCATCTGGTGGGGCCACAGTGAGATACAGGAAGCTGAACTAGCTGGGCCCTTGGCCTGATCCAGCAGGGCTTTTCTTATGTAAAACTATAGTGAATGGAAGTTATTTTTTTAATAAACAAAGAAATCACTTTTTTTATAAAAGTGGTGTGAGATCAAGCAAAATAAAAGAGGGTACACCCTGTTATCTGAGCATCACACCTTCATAGCTAAACACACTAATTCTCTTTCTGAAAACGGTCTGGATATTAATGACTTCACTAATAAGAATACCAATGCCATTTAAGAGTCTTTTCTCAGTTTACTCAATCTGGTTGTACATATTTATTTTTATTCCTCCTAACATAGCACCAAACACTATTCTAGGCAATATACAATCTGAGAAATAAAAAAAGAATTGACTCACAAACCCATCCACAACCCAAAGACTCAACAACAGAAGATATTTCAACAAACAGGATTGCAAATCAGACTAAATGCTGGTGGGATCGGGTGACTCACTTATATGAAGGTAACAGACATACTACACACTCTTGTTCCGGTTCCAAATAGATACCTTTCTTTTAAATGCAAGAAAATTAGCCAATGTTGTGGCCCCAGGACCGCAAAAAAAGAAGTTGACATCTTACTGAAGATATGATTGTATCCCCACCTCCTGGCTATAGTAGGGAGTGCAGAAAACTAGTGAACAATAAAAGCAAATTTCAGGAGGAAAGTCAATAAAGCCGTCATTCATTCTCAAAAGGAGATACCTCCAATAAATGTAAGACATGTAGAAACAAGACAGCAAACAAACAGATAGTATCATCCATTAGGAGGAAATAAATCCGAAAAGTTGGGTAATTCATTGATTATTCAGAATACTATCAATACGTACATGCTTCTAAATTTTCCAGAGTAAGTGAACCAAAAGGAGCGAAGGGGTGGAAAAACAGAGAAGTCCAAAAATGAGGCTTTATAACATGATCACAAGGTTTCTAGTTTGTATCCCAGCCTCAAAGTGAAGTTTTACAGCCTGAATGAATGAGTTACTAGCAGGGATGAGAACAGTTACTTTTTTGGGGGGCTGAGTTACCTGGAATCCTATAGCCAGATGGCCAAAAGGTATAAATGTCCTCATCTCTGCTTATTGGTCAGTATTGCAGGTCTCGGCTGGCGTCTCTCGGTACATTCTTGGACAGAGAATCACAGGTGGATCTCTCTTCCAAAAAATGTGAGGGCCAGGAGGAACTGCAAACAATTTCCATATCGTCACCACCACTGCCACTAACAGTTCAAGGTGCATACAATGAAGGATGCAAAGAATTATATCACTTGTTCTCAATGAGACAGATTGTCCCATTAGATGAACACAAGCTGTTTGAAAATCTTGAGTCTGGTGAAATTTCCTTCCTCTGATATGAGAGAGATTGGTATTTCCCCCCACTGAAGTCTCCTCAGTTGTCTGCAAAATGTCTGTGTACAAAACTAGTCTCTCTCTCTCTCACACACACACACCTTTTGTGGAGCAAAGGGCACAACACACACACACACACACACACACACACACACACACACACACCTTTTGTGGAGCAAAGAGCACAAGACACAAAGAAAGCACAGAAGGATTTGGTAATGGACTAAAAATCTGAGACTTTCTGCTGACTTTTTTCCTCCAGCATGAAGCATACATTTAGAGTCTCTTAAGGAGGAAAGCTGTGAAGAACAATCTTGGGGTCCAATCTATAGGTAGGGGGCAGAGCCCCCTGCCCCCCAACTCCCCCCTTTCTGTGCAGATGTCCTCCAGGGAAAACAGGGTTGGGAATCTCAGATTTTTCTCATCCTATACAGTTTAAATTGTAGGATATCCCATGGGGATATTCCAGTTAACAAAAAACCATGACAAGAGTCCACAGATCATTCAACCATTGCATAGCTAGGCTTACGATGAGACGCTTGTCTTCACTAGAGTATGGTGGTGCCGTGGTTAGTGCAGTAAACCAAAAATTTGGGAGACCCGGGTTCAAATCCTTGCTCAACTGAGCAGTTCATTGGGGGATTCGGGGCCAGTCACTTTCCCCCAATGGAACCTTCCTTGTTGCTGGGAAAATAAAATAGAGATGAGAGGCAGAACCAGGTTGATTTCCTTGGAGGAAATTAGGAAACTTCTCCCGTGGCCAGTCAGACCCATGTCCTGCCTTATTCTGTACACCCACCTCATCTGGCACTCTTCAGATCTAGTCAATGCCAACTCCCATCGTCCCCACGCTATGCTCTCTGATTTGGAAAGGGTGGTCTCTGATTACTAGCAGTGGCCCTCCATGGTGTCCGAGAAGGCCTTTTCCAACCCTACCTGAAAGTGACAGGAAGTGGGCAGTAGAAAACATAAATGAAAGAAAAAAAGTGGGCAGTTCCTTTCTAGTAAATTATTTTTAACATACAAACATTGCCTAAATCGGAAAAACCAAGTAATAACTCCAGAACCCACAATTTGCTTCAGAGCCAGCTCCTCGCCTACTTCTGTAAGATTGGTATTTAAAACCACAAAACCATGATAGCATTGCTTAATCGAGTCAGTTCATTTCCCTACATTTTTATTCTTCTCTTCCGGCCATGATAATTCTGACACCGAGATAAAGCTTTATCTTCACCGTTCCACCCAAGTATGAACTCCAGTCATAATTCTCCATGGGTGGGATGTGTATAAAACAGGATAAGGGAGGGAAAATAAGCAGTCTCTTTCAGAAATTTGGCTAGGGATTCTACAGCATGCTTCGGCTGCATTGCCTCAGACACGAAATACAACAGGAGCCCACAGATAATTCAACCATTGCATAGCCAGGCTTATGATTAGATGTTTGTCTTCACTAGAGAGAAAGGAGCTATAATTTCATATCTAAATTGGCTCAGAGAAAGTCCAGGGAGAAACAAACACAGGATTTTTTAGGATGCTTCCAGACAACGCTTTTATTATCCAATATTCCTGCCCTAGTCATGCAGTTTTCCTAGGAACGAGCAATATCATCATCTCCTATTTGAAACACTCAGAGTGTGCATGTATGCATTTATTTTTACCCCACCTTTCTCCTTGAAAAGGACCCAAGGTTTTTTTTTTAAAAAAAACCCTCTGAAAAGCCATTAAAGAAAGATGGAAAAGCTGTCCTATATCTTTTCATGGACAATGCCAGGAGCTGTCAAAGTGAGCCCTAATGCATTCTTTATTCTGCTTACTTTGTTTGTAACTCACCTGTCCTCCGGTGACCTCAAGGCAAGATCCACGCAATGGTGCTTCCTTGCTTTATCCTTACAACCATCTAGTGCGGTAGGTCTGGCCAGAAAAAAAAATGACCGGTGCATGATCACTGAACGTTTTCCACGGTTCACATGTCCTAGTTTCAAGGTGCAAGAAGCTGGCAGATGGATAATTCTAGGAGGACAAAAGTAACATTACTTGACTGCCCAGCTCAGCAGGAACTCTATTAAACAAGGACCCCTATCATGCTGAGAGTTAAGAAAGAAGACAGAGAGTTTTCAGCAGTTGGGCTGGGCTTTGAGTAGCAGATTTATCCAGCTGTGCCAGGGGTGACTCCTTCCCACAGCTGCTGCTGCTCAACCCATCTCCACAGCTGGGATGTGTTGGAGACAAGACCTTCATCTCAGCTTTGGCCGATGGTCTCCTGTGCTTCCAGAGACCATCATTCTCTGTGGTGTGGAGGTTGTTCTTTCTTGGGAGCACCCTCGACATCTGGAGTGTCCAGCTTCTCCTGCTAGAGTCTTAAGTTCTCCTTCAGCTTTCTCCTAGCCTTTCTCGTCCGAATCAGATTTTGCCTGGAAGGTCACAGCACCACTGGGAAAGCTTGGAGGTAGCAAGTTATCATTAATGTCATTACAGGTAACAGATTCCATTTCAAGTATTATGATGGGAAGGCAACAATATTACCTATGTTGAGCACCGTAACAGCAAATAAAGTAGGATTTGTATCCATCGCCTGAAAATACTATTTATATGTATTTCCAAGGTGTATTTACCAGAATAGGCCACTAGAAAGAGCCAGGAATCATACAACATGTAGTGTTGAATGCTTCTGCATTGTTCAGTTTGTGTGTATGGGGGGGGGGCTTGGAAGTGATTCCAATTACCTATGTTGAGCACCGTAACAGCAAATAAAGTAGGATTTGTATCCATCGCCTGAAAATACTATTTATATGTATTTCCAAGGTGTATTTACCAGAATAGGCCACTAGAAAGAGCCAGGAATCATACAACATGTAGTGTTGAATGCTTCTGCATTGTTCAGTTTGTGTGTATGGGGGGGGGGCTTGGAAGTGATTCCACCATAGATATCACAGTTCTACTGTACTAAGGTAGCTACTTTGTAGTTGCAATAGACAGTTTACTCATTGTTACAGATTTTTTTGGGGGGGGGGGGTGGGGGGCAGCCTAGCTGCTTACCTTTTACAAGGTGGCCAGGATTTTTTCCCTTCTATTTCTGCTTTAAAAAAAGTGTTCCATTAGCTGGGATACAGGTCACCTGGCACAGCGCTGGCCACACAGCTCCCACATGTCTTGGATTGAATGGAGAGGAGTGAGGCAAGGACAGTGAAGTCAAAAGTAAACATGTGAAGGATACTCCCTAAATTTCTCAATCCTGTTAAGCTATCTGAATGTCAGGAGACACCTAACCGAAAGGTTAGATGGCAGCTTAACAGCAGACGTGGTTCTTGCCTTGTTGTTGGAATTTTTTGCAACCTCGCATGCTGGTTCTAAGTATGGCTGTGAGGGATATTTCTGGGCTTGGATATCTGTTTCTCTAACATTAACCAATAGTTTTCTCCTGTGTTTGGGTTCAAGGAGAGCCCCACCTCTCTGATAAGTGGTTTGAGAGTCTGCTGTCGTCTGTTGTTGAAAACAGTCATGTTTGTTAGTTTGCTGTTTGATCAGTCGAATTGTAAGTAATAACACTTTTTTATTCTTTCTACTAGTCATGTCTCAGAATGAGTTATTGGGACTGTAAGTGCCAGATTATGAGAAAAAAGGGATGGGCTGTTCTTTGGAACTTGAAGCTATTCTCCTCTGTAAATCCCTGCCCTTCTGGTGCACAGCTAAAGGGATTGAGCAAAAAAATTCAAAACTCTGCAACATTTTTAGTGTTTGAGGCCCTTAATTTAAAATAAGAAACAGAGAGTACAACCATCTACTACCTTATGTAAATTAAGCAGCAGCACTTCTGCCACCCCAAAATGGAAAGTAACATAGCAAACAATGGAATCAGTAACAATGGAAGGGGACTCAGGATGTGAACAATTAAGAACTACAGCTGGGACTTTGCAAAACAACAACTAGAAAACAGATTACTGTATACAATAACTGCAATACAACACCAGCAACATTCTAAGCTCTATTTGATGGTGAAGTCCCAGCAAGAGGTCAATAGGAAACAAACAATCTTTCCAGAGAAGTCTGACTATTCATGGTTTCCAGTTCTGTGGCCTTTCTGATGCCAGGTGAAAACTTCTCTGTTTCTTTCACATTTTTACAATACAGTAGGACCACCCCACTCCCTGTATCATTTCAAGTCCCCCCACTGTGGATACTGAAAACTGTGGATAAGAGCAAACCCTCTATATCGAATGGTATCTGGCTTCCTGTAGTAGCCAGTTCTGGTAACTACATTGTGGATATATATACAGTATTTCTGTCCCCCCCTCTACTTTTAATAAGTGAAAACACGGATAGAAATCCTATTGTAACCCATTTTAGGATTGTCAGTTTAAAAATCTCCGCTTCATTCCAGGTTGCAGTTCATTTTTTTTCTCATTGGTTCTGCTGATCCTGTTGCTGTATTCAAAGTTGCTTTGGTTCTGTGGTTTCTGTTCGCTATCACATTGAAAGGGCTGTGTTGTTTGTATGCTTCAAGCCACGCAGAGAATATACCACCACCACAATTGGGGAGAAGTTGCAACACTGGAAAAAGTGCAAAAAATTAGCAAGGAGATTTTTTGGGGGGGAAAGAGCAACACATTTAAGGGGGAGGAGTGTCTGTGAACAAGTTAAAGGCAATTATCTACAAAGAACTTTATTTAACAGGGACGAGACATGAATATAGACTGAACCAGCTAGATTTACCTAATTAATGTCCTGAGTATATGATTTATTTACTTGCCACTCTGTTATGCAGCTGACTTAATAGCTTCCTCATTCTTTTAAGGATGAGCTTTTCTTTCCTGATTACATTTGGAATGAGTTTTGCTAAGTTCCGTAACAGCAACAATAATTCTTGGTGCTTTAAAATGGCAGCCTGGAAATGGAGACATGGTAAATATCCTCAAATGCACCAATGAAGAACCAGCTTCAGTTATTTAAGTTATTTATATGTAAAATAATCCATGTAGAAGTAGGAGAGATGAACTGAAGGAGAAATTGCTTTTAGCCTTTGTCATTTGTCAAGACAGCTTGTTTTGGGGTTTTTTTAATGCAGTAATATGGTGGGACCCCCTTATCCACGGTATCAGTATCTGCTGATTCTTTTTCCCGTGATCTGAAAAAATTAAAAATATAAAAAGAAAAATCCTAGAAATATATATTTCCAAAGATGACATTACCATAACTGGCCATTAGAGAAAGCCAGAGGCCATGCTACATATAATATTCACTTTCAGAACAGTGTTCACTATAATCTGTGTTTTTCAGCATTTGTGGGTGGGGGTTTGGAATTGATTCCCCCACAGATATGGAGGTTCCACTATAGTCAGTTTATTTGGAGTGAGTTCGGAACAGGCATGTACACCATCTTTAGGGAAATGTGCAAAAATCAGACTAAATCTGGGCGATTTGTACAATTACAGAGTGACTCCAGGGACCAGCAAGGAGCAGTAGAATAATAACACACTGGATCCTTCATCTTTCATGTGGCATTTAGAGACTCCAGAAGATGGGAAACATTTCGAACTGTAGAACTTGAAAATCATTCAGTAGATTGGACTGCGGGTGGTAAAGGAGGTGGTGAGTGGCTGCTGATCATCCAATCAACTCCCAGATCTCCCTTGGACACTCCTACTACTGATTTCGCTATGCAAAATATATGTCAGCCATTTCATGGGTCTGTACGGCAAAGAGAAAGACTTGCCCTACTTTTCAAATACTTTATTTTCCCATTCTAGAATATTCTTTTTTTCCTTTGTTCTCTCACTGTACTCGATTTACTCTATTTTGCTGGAATATTAGTACCCAGTTACAACTAAGGGTGCGTGATTGTGTAAAGGTGATGGTTATAAAGATTTTGAGTGGACAAGTCATGTAATTAGGGTGCCACATAGCAGCCTGTCCCGGACTGTAGCCATTTTGTATTTTTATAGAGATCTGGAAACACACACATTTCCTAAGGAGTAGAGGATGGGTCAGTCCTGCTCTGTGTGCCCTTCATTTGGGAAAGGTCTGAATCATGATCAAAACCACATTTACAATTGCCTTTTGAATGCCAGTAATGGCATAATCTTGACTCTAGATGGTGCTCTAAGACAACTATGAACCGACACTGCATTCAGGCAACACTTCAACAGAGAATGGTCCAGTTTCTCCAACTATGAACCGACACTGCATTCAGGCAAAACTATTCAACAGAGAATGATCCAGTTTCTCAAAAAAAAGAGCAAATCTCAACTCCTCTATACTAGATTCCAGATTCATCTCAGCTCTAGCGCTATGCTCACTAGATTCCAGATTCATCTCAGCTCTAGCTGAGTAAACACACGAACATCTCAGACAGACACCTTTTTGCCTGGTTTGTTATCTATTTCCACAATATTCAGATTCTGCAACGACTCCCCATTGACGGAACACAAAACTGATGATTCGTTAAAAGCAGGCTGCCTTGAGTGAGTCAGCAAAACTGACTGGGCGAAATGTCAGAAATTTGTCTCTTAGCCATAGACCACAATGAAAGCAGAGACAACCTCTAACAGTACCCAGCTTCTGATCAGGAAGTATTAAAGGATAGTGCCTCTAAGGACAACATGGGCACCTCTTCCTTCCCCTTGAACATTTGTTTCATTTGTTTGCTTGAAATTTTTTTACCTTTCCTTTCCTCGAAAAAAGGATCCAAGGCAGCTGTCATCATTAAAAACACAATTTTAAAAGCTAAAAATGCAGTAGTAAATTATTCAAATAGTCAAGAATTAATAACATTGCATTCATTAAAAACACAATATTAAAAGCTAAACATGCAGTAGTAAATTATTCAAATAGTAAAGAATTAATAACATTGCATTAAAAATGTTAGGTTAAAAATGTTGCAGGAAAAATAGACTTAGAAGTTACAAAATATTAACCGTTCCATTTATTGTCTCCTAGATCAGGGATTTTTAACCTTGAGTTACTCAGGAGTTTTGGACTGCAACTCCCAGAAGCCTTCACCACCAGCTGTGCTGACTGCGGTTTCTGGGAGTTGCAGTTCAAAAGCATCCGAGTAACAAAGGTTAAGAACCACTGTCCTAGATCAGTGGCTCCCATCCTTGTGTAATCCAGGTGTTCCTGGACTGCAACTCCCAGAAGCCCCAGCCAGCAAAGCTAGCAGTGAAGGCTTCTGGGAACTGCAGTCCAAGAACACCTGGGCTGCCCAAGTCAGTCTCTAAGGAAAAGCCTGCCTGAAGAGAATGGTAGTATTCCGCTGGTGGAAGGATAGCAGAGATGGGGCACCAGCTGCATGAATTGCCCCACACTGCAATGCCTGCTGCTTTGTATAAGAATATTCTGCAATAGATGGATGGCTTCCATCTTTTTAAACAATTAGAGAGACTGCCTGGACCTGCTCTGTGTGTATGTGTGTCCTCTTTGTTTCTCAAAGAGAAAAGCCAATAATTACATTTTACACAAATTACAGATAGCTGCATGGGGCAGAAGAACTCTGTTTTGCTGTTGATTGGAGGTAAGAGATTTCCTGAGTCTCCTTAAAATTTCCTGCTGAAGTTTAAATCAGCGAGAACCAGGAAATGTAGTGAGTGTTCTATCCACCTTTAACTCTTGGTGGCAGTAGCATCCAGGCTGTCAGGCAAAGAGGTGGGTGGGTGTTTTCCCCCCTCCCTCCTTTTACTGCCTGGTCTTTTTAAAGGGGAAGCTATGGGGGGGGGAATTGAAGCTGGAGATTAACACAGGAGTGTTTTTTTAAAACTGGGAGTAGTTCAAATAAATGCACCTTAAAGCAATTTTAAAAAGAAGACTCGAATAAGTGAATGCTGGTCGGTAAGAGTCAGAATTTGGAAATGTCCCTTCTCTGGAACTAGAGTGCCCAGAATTCTGAGAGCTGCAGGCTAGAAAAGTAACTTTTCTAGGCTCTGAGAAGAGCATTATTAAGAGGAATCAAGGACAGAAAATGCACAGATATAGGAAGGAGAAGCAAGGATGGGTTTTGTACCTCTATGCTAAAGCTCAGTGCCAACGTTTGGCTGTTTCCCAAATTCTCATTGCGAGAGTTATTTTATTTCCCATCTTTAACCACTGGTTTCTACCGCTGAGTTTGCCACATGGCTCGGTGTAGCATCTAGCTGATGGGCCGAAGGCAGATGCAACTTTCCAGTGCCTGAGCAGACAGACCTGTGCGGAAATCGCCCTCTCCATTCTCCAGAAAACCACTTGATGGCGCTCAAGTTCCTGCTAGCTAGTGCATTGAAAGACATGGGATGAATCAGCAACCATGTTTGCCTGTTGTGATAAAAACAAGTAACTTTATAGTCGACTGAACTGTTGGAAAGCTCTGATGTCTTCATTTGCTCTTTTATGGGCGAAAAGCAGTTTAGATCAGGCTTCCTCCAACCTGAGGCCTCTTAGATGTTCTAGAATACAACCCCCATCATCCCCCAGGTGGCCTGAGCAATCAAAAGGGGTTGGGGAGAACAAGAAACCATTGTCACAACATCATCTTAGAACTGCAGAACAGGAAAGGACCCAGTGGATCATTGAGCCCAGCCCCTGTGTAGGAGGCACCAGGGAGGAATCAAACTCCCAACCTCTGGCTCTGCAGACACCCAAGCCACCAAGCTATAAATTCATCATCTTAGAATTGCAGAACAGGAAAGGACCCGGTGGATCATTGAGCCCAGCCCCTATGAAGGAGGCACAGGAGAGGAATCAAACTCCCAACCTCTGACTCTGCAGACACCCAAGCCACCGAGCTATCTAGCAATTTTCAATCAGTTCTGATTATACTGGTTTAATTACCCTTTAGGAGCAGTGCAATCTGGAGCTTATGATCAGCTCACTAGATCCAATTTAGTATCATGCCAATGTCTTTATCCAGATACCTAAGCCACTTTACCCTTTAGGAGCAGTGCAATCTGGAGCCTATGATCAGCTCACCAGATCCAATTTAGTATCATGCTAATGTCTTCATCCAGCTACCTAAGCCACTGAGCTATCTAGGGGTTGGAAAGCAGCACAGGGAATTCAGGAACCCCAATCACTGATATGGAATGGGAGCTGGCCAGGATTTCTGGGAGTTGAGGTCCAAGAACATCTGGGGGGCCAAGGTTGGGGACCACTGATCTAGGGGTTAGAAAGCAGCACAGCGAGTGCAGGAGGAACCCCCATTCACTGATATGGAATGGGGTGCTGGTACCTTGGACAACTTTTGAGGTGTCTATGTGGCCTTAGACTTCATCACAGTCTTGATCGTTCATCTTCCCTTTTCTGCCTGCCTTTCAAGATCTCCATGAAAGAGCAACCTGGCTAAATAGGCAGGCGTGAGTCACTCTCCTTTCTTGCCATTGGAAAAGCATCTTCTTGTATTGGCTGCTTTGTCCTTGGGAGCATTATCCCCGTGCTTCCCCCTCCCCCACTTTTGAAACTGGAATCCTAATCAGGAGGTCCACTTAGGCTATTGATCCATCAGTGTAATGTCTGCATAAGCCATTTCCTGCCACCTCCTTTGGAGAACTGACATTTCCCAAATAAGGGATTCATTTCTATCAAGGGACCACTTCAGTCTCTAGCCTTCTCAGCAGTAGCTGCTTGAGCACGAGTGTGATATTTGAAATAGTTATTACTCCTCTCCTGGCCTATCGCAAGACATTTTGCTGCCTCAGGCAAAGGATGAGATGGTGTTCTTCCCACCATCCATATATGGAATGTAATCATACTGGTAGGTAAACCTTACTTTCACACCATCTTCCACTGTACTTGAGGACAGCACACTAGGTCACAAGGCACAAACAGTGTGGGACTGATCCAGAAGCTAAGCAAACTACCATTTAGGATGGTGGTGCCCACCATCTTCCACTGTACTTGAGGACAGCAGACTAGGTCACAAGGCACAAACAGTGCGGGACTGATCCAGAAGCTAAGGAAGCTACCATTTAGGATGGTGGTGCCCAAACCAGGCATTCTTGGACTGCAACCCCCGGAGGTCTTGACCACTAACAGTGCTGGTTGGCGTTCAAGATTGGGAATCAGTGGTTAGGGTCCCAGATTATTACTGGTCTCTAAATCAAGGATTGGGGACTGGTTTGGCTGGCCCAACCCAGGTGTTTTTGGACTGCAACTCCCGGAAGTCTTCACCACTAACAGTGCTGGTTGGCGTTTCTGAGAGTTGCAGTCCAAGAACACCTGGGTGACCCAAGATTGGGAATCAGTGGTTAGGGTCCCAGATTATTACTGGTCTCTAAATCAAGGATTGGGGACTGGTTTGGCTGGTCTCTAAATCAAGGATTGACTGGTTTGGCTGCCATGACCATCGGCTTTGAAAAGGGTTACTGACTGTTTATTTGTCACTCCAACCTAAATGGTTTAAAACTTGACTTCACAAAGAGGTGGCTTTCGTTATACCGTCATACCCATGAACTGAGATATGCCGTTGGAGGCATTTTTCAATGTCCCATCACCAGACAAGATGAAGACTTCTGGACATTATAAAGAGCCTTCTTAATGGTGGCAATCTGATCATGGCATATCCTCCCACCTAGTGGTTGAAGGGGCAGCATCAGTTGTCAACTTTCCTCAGAGATTGGAAAGATTACATCTTTTGACTACAACAGCCAGTCGTCCAAAGCCAGCATGGTGATGCCCACCACCTTCTGGGGCAGTCTGTTTCATTGTCAAACCAGAAGTAAGCTAGGACTGGAAATACCTGCATTCAAATTCCCACTCAACCTTTCCACTCACATACCCAGTTCTGGGCCGTCACTATCCATCAGTCCAAGTTGCTGTGTAGCTAAGCATGGGAGAACGGAGAACCATGTCTATCCTCAGTTCCCTGTAGATAACATGGGATGTTGCAATTTTTAATGTATTTTTAAAAGATTCCAGAGAAACTTTGTTGAGAAATGCAACATCTTCCACTGGAGCCTGCCCTAGACATTTTGGTCCCTGAGACAATTAAATGAATGGCACCCACCCAATAGTGTTGGCTGGAGTGGGAAATGCACTTTTCTTTAACATGAAGGTAGCACAACATCCTCCATTGCATTTGATGGTTTCAAGCTACCTTTCAGGTCAGGGGGGACAGGGCAAGCCCCACTGTGTCCCCTTCTCCGGCAACACCTTGCTGCCATATCCTAGCCTCTGTCACACAAAGCAAATACCT